GGTAAAATAAAACAGTGTCTAGAACATATATACTTAAGTATTAGACATTATTTATCACTAGTTTTAAGGATGCATAGGCAGAGACGTATACCTTGGGTGGTTGCACAAAAGTAGGCACAGTAGAGCCAAACAACAATGAACTTGCACCCAGGTGCTCTGGGTTCATATTTCAGTTCCCTAACTGTTTCATTTGGGCTTCAATTTCCTTATCTATATAATAGGAAAGCATTTTGAAAATGAATTAGCATAAGGAAATCTAAGGGCGGTATGTTTAGTAGGATAGTAGGGAAAAGTTGCATCTGTCTTCCACTTTGGTCGAGGAAACTTTGTGAAGGAGGTGCCTTTTAAGTAAATACTCTTAGAATGAGCTGAATAGGGAAAGCACATACCTTGAACCCAGATAGGTCTGATTCAAAAGTTCCTCCTTTACTCTATAGTTTGAAAACTTAAAATAAAAATGAACATCCTGAGTTGTTAAAAAAAAAAAAAGTTTATTTTCTTCGTATGAGGTAGGTACACTAACCCTCTGAGGGTAGTAGAAATATATTAAAGGCACTGGCAGGGATTTAGTCACCATCCATTCAAAACAGCATGAACACACCATCAAGCCTGTAAGTGACCTTTTCTTTCTCAATTATGAATGATTCATTCTTTTGGAGGTAAAGAAGTGTGATGTTGGAAGAAATGAGATTTGTATAATCAGAGTATCCCAACAGTTTTAAGTCAATTTGATATGCCTATTTTTAGAAAAATCACTGCCTTCCAACGAACATTGCAAAATTATCAAGGACTGTGCACACTGCACTTTATACTTATTGGAAGGAATATTTAACAACTTTTTATAAAGTTGCAACATCAATCACATGTGAGGCAAGGTGTTAGGCGTAAAACTGTCCCCATTGCTGCCAAAGAGTGAAAGGGAAAAGGAAAAATCGGCCTTTCTTATTCATTCAGCCAAACACCGCCCCCGCCAAGCCTCGGAGGCGGGGTCTGGGTCCCTGGCAGTCTTCAAAGGTCCCGGCACACAGTGTAAGAAAAATAAGGTCAAGTCGCCCTTCCGCGACATTTTACGAAAAATTCCCAAGAATTCTGTCTTTGCCCCAGAGTAATCGCTGGACCTCCTCCTCGTTAACCCCCAAGGAAAAGGAGATGACCGCGTGTGACTTTGCTCCGGTTCGGCCAGGTCCTTCGGGGTCTCACCAGCCCAGCCGAGGAGGGCTCCCACGTGGCGCCTACCCACAGCCGGCTCGGCCACCCCCAGCCGACGCTCTGATTGGTCAAGGGCGGCCGGAGCCCCTCCGAAGACGAGGCGACTCAGCCAAACTGGGCGGGCACCCGGCGATAGGTCGCAGCCATGCGGGCAGCTCCCAGAGCAGCGGGTCCTGCACGTTGGCCCCACGCCGGGAGCGAGGGCACCACCCAGCGCCGGGACTATGCAACTACATGTGGTCCCTGGTTAGCAGCAGGCGCCGTAACCCTCCACCCTACGTAGGGTAGCGCTCACCTCAGCGCTCGCGGCGCCTCCACCTTCAGCTTTTTGGGCTTCGGCTCCTCCTCAGTGGCGGCCATCTTCGCGCTCCCACCCCACTTAGGCTCCAGCGTGCGCCCCACCCCTTCAGCTATCTGGCCCCGCCCCATCCCTGTCTCACCACCTCCTTTTTTACAAACCCCGCCCTCCCGACTCCTCCCAGTCCGTGCCGCTCCCACCTACAGTCATTGGCTCGACCCATCGGCTCGACCCATTGGCTAATACACACATTCCTGACCCCGCCCACCAGACTATAGGGGGACCCCAGACTGAGTTAGGCTGTGGATGAACGCCTGAGTCCAAATGGTGCGAAATCCTCTCCCCGTTCTTCTACAGTCTGGGTGCGCTAAAGGATTTATATCCTAAACCTCAAGAAACGCATTTCTTCTCATTCAACGTCTTCCTGCTTATTTAATATTTCCAAATCTGTAGATCTAGTTGGTCCCTTTGAAGCTGTTAATCAGGCAATCTACTGGACACTCCAACTGTGGGGTCCTCACAGCCTTCTCAGCTGCCTCAGCCTCGGTCCGGAGAGGACCCGGCGCCGAATCACTGACAGGCCCTGGTGTTGGGGTGAGTGTGAGGGGCGAGGAGTCTGCTGCCAGCGTACAGCTCGAAAACCGGGGAGTAGGCTGAATCGCTGGGGCTCTGGACTCCAGCATGAGCTGCAGGAGCGTCTCCGGTGCTGTGGGCCGGCACTGCGCCTCCCTCTCGGCCTTCCGGGCTTTCTTGCCAGCAGGGCCGGAAGGGAGCGGTGCACCTGCCTCCCAGTGTTCTCAGGCCGCAAGCCCGAGAGGTTCAAGCTCATTGGGGCCACTCTTCGTTCTCTGGCGCGGGATAAAAGGTTTTGTCACCCACAGTGAGCTGGAGTACCGATGACTCCAGGCTTATTTGGAGAGCAAAACCCCTGACTGACCTGAGCTGATGTCTTGACTGGGGTGGGGAATACAGAGAGGAAGGCGTTGCAGTTCTTCAGAAGAGAGTGACTATGGAAAAGTAATGAGCGATGTGGCAGGTTGGATTTGGTAGATTTGGATTGAACCTGAAGCTGCAGCTTATAGTCCGCATGATTAACGAGGTGGCGCCACTATAAAACTAGGAACCCTCACAAGAGGGGAGGAATTTTGTGGAACTTGGGAGATACGGAGTTTGAAATAGTGGTTTAAATGGAAATGGTAAAAAGATTAAAGGGAGGAGGGGCATGGGAAGTAAACCGGAAAGAGATTTTCGAAGTGAGAGCCAAAACAGGTAAAGTTTCATATAATAGGGTAAGAAGTATTTATTTTGTCTTGGGGAATGTTATCAGTGACATGAAATGCTGCAAGGGTCAAAGTCTGAGAATAGGTTGTTGGATTTGAGAATTAGGAAGTTATTGGACCGTTTGAGAGAGCTCCTTTAATAGAGTCAGTTACTGAGAGGAGAGAGCAAGTATAGACTTAATCCTTCCTTTGGAGCGTGAAGCAAAAGATTGCTGAGGATGACAAGGTTCCTTAAGGGTTTGAAGTTTGTTTGTTTTAAAGAATACAAGACACATTATGTTTTGTTACAGAAAGCAAGTAACCAGTGTATGAGAGTAAAGATTTAAGGAAGAAGAGATAAAGATCTAGGAAGGGAGGGAAGGGAATGCCATCAAAATTACAAGTGGAGGAATTAGTTTTGGAAAGAAAGGAGGACACTCTCAGTTGAAACCATAGCAAAAGTAGAGGAATAAGGTAAATAAAGAATTACCTGAAACTTACATATCTTTAAGGAAAGCTCTCTTTGCAATAAGGTTAGCTTTTCCTAGCGGATCTTAGGATTTTTATAGTGTTTCTAAACATTCAAGATAATACACTGTTGGAGCTCCCTGCAGACTAGATATTTTTATATAGCTCAATAATATCTCAATTCATGGATAGCTAGTGATATTTGTAGAGGGAGGGAGCAGAATTCTCTCTCCCTCTACAGGTGACCTTCCCTCCTATTACACAGAGAAAATAAAAGCCACCTTCCTGCAACCAACTACAAACCTCTTTTGCTTACAGAGGAAAAAGTGTCCCTTCTTATGAAAGACAAATCCTTTCACCTAGTCCCCCAATACTATCTTCTCCTACTGTTTCAAGAGTCTTCTTTTTTTCAATATTCCCTCTCCTACATCATCAGCCTTTCCCCCTCTACCCACACTTTTCATTCAGCATTTAAAAATATCTTTCTTAACTTTATGAACTACTGCCATTTATTCTCCTGTCAGAGCTGGAGTTCTTAAATGTATCATTCACTCTCCTTATCTCTGTTTTTCTCACTTCTTGCTATTTATTTCTCAACCCACTGCAGTATATCTAGTTTCTACCATTCCACTCACTATGCTACCACTGCAACTACGTTTACTATGATCACCAATGTCTTCTATGTGTTAAATCATGTATTCTCAGTGGGGACAAAAATTGCCTCTTGTGAAGCAAAAAAAAAAAATCATACTCTATATATACATAAAACAGATATATTTACAGTACATAAAAATATATAGAGATATATATTCTGTAGTATTAAAATTATCTGAGGGAGAGAAATGATTGAAGGATAATTTGAAAAAGCTCCTTTAGCAGGTAGTAATAAAAAGAAAGTTCAGTAACACTGTTAAATAGACATTTTCAGTTCTTGTAGCTTGAATTCTTAGTGTCATATAAAATGTTTAATATTCCGCTCTTCTAGCAACACACTAACACACTCTAGTTACTAGAAACCATTACCCTCACCCTCCTTTTTTATCCCTCTTCAGCCAAATCTTATCAGTCTTTTTTTAGGCCCACTTGCTTAACCTCGCTGCTGGAGTTCCTCAAAAAGAACAAACTAATCAAAATGTTGGAGTTCCTCAAAAAGAACAAACTAATCAAAAACAGACAAATATAGAGGACAATCTGGTGATAGCCAGAGGGGAGGGAATGTTGGGGAGCTGAGAGAATGGGGTGAAGGGTTAAAGAAGTACAAATTAGTAGTTGATAGATGGTCACGGGGGTGGGGAACACAGCATAGGGAATGCAGTATAAATTAATGTAATGGCTAGGTGGAGAGCCAGAGGAGAGAAAGAGCAGTTAGGGGGATTGTTTTATAAACTATAAAAATGTCTAATAAAGGTACAGTATACTTGAAACTAATAAAATAATTTTTTTTTAACTGTTGGAGTTTCTTCCACAGGCTCTCTTCTACTATGCACAAGCTCTCTTTGTAGTTTTAGTCTTCTGATAGTTACAATTTCCATTAACAAAAAATCATGATTACTCACAAATCTATCTCCAACTTGGCTTCTCTCTAAAGCATCAGACCTACAGACCTATATATACAATAGTCTTTTGAATATATCCATTTGGGTCAAATATATCCAGAATTGGATCAGGTCATACAAACTAGGGCTGAATTTTCCCTCTCCACCCTCCTCCTTAATCTTTCTTCAAGCCAGAATGTTTCCCTTATCTTTTCATTTTACTTCCTACTGTAAACACTCTAGTTCAGGTCACCACAATAACACATCTCTCAACTGGTGTCACAGTACCGAGTTGCCCTATTATGCAATTTCCACAGTGCAGTCTTTCTTAAAACTGGAAATTGGATTGTATGAATCTCCTGCATAAAACCACAGAAAAATGATTTTACATTGCCCTCAGAATAAAGTGAACCAATCTCTGCTTATCTCATTCTCCAGTCTCATCTCTCCACTTCACTCCACTTTCTAAAGTTGCTAAATTTGTACTGATTTCTTTGTCTTGTATTCTTTCTCCCCTCAAAGCTTTGTGAATTTCTATAGCACACTATGTTTCCCCTATCAAAATAGGAATTACATCTTAGTGTATTGAGTTGTTTGCCGCCTTTGTTGAACTCTAAACACTGTGAGTTCAGGGACTCTAATTTGTGCACCCTTGTATCCCCCATTGCTTAATATATAAAACACATATTCACACTACTTGTATAAATAAATGGTCAGAATATTGACTGAGAATCAGGGGAGTTATATTTTTTTCTGGTCTCATTCTCTCACTTTGTATATGCCCCTCTTGCCTCCCATGCCTGTGTTCTGTTACATATAGAAGGAACACATTTTATTTTTAGACACTATTTTCTAAGGATATTGAGACTATTATGAGTGTGTCGCTTATGAATCATGAGTGTGTTCAACATTTGATAAAGGAGATTTATGAAGTATTTAAGCTGCAGTCAAAGCTCTGATGGAACTGCCTCTGAATACTTTCTCAAATAGCTTTAACATAAGCTGAGGGAATTCTGACTCAAAAGTCACTAAGAACAAAAAGATAGTTGTGATGGTGAGTGTGTAGCTTTCTCAAGAAGTTTATTCAAATAGTAAACGAGGTAACTGCAGCTACTAAAAGGTTAAGTAATTGAAGAAACAGGCTGCATGTGGTATATATATAATTGTTATATGCGTCAGGCCCTTGGCCATAATATGAATAGAAGAAGTAAGCTCTCTTTTCCTATAATAAAAGGTTAAGATGGGTTTTAAAGCTAAGCACTGTTGAAAGCTACAAGTGGTATACTTTCATCTCAGCACTGAGGATAACAACAATAAATCCAGATGGCCAGTTTAACTTACTGTATTCTTCTGAGAACTGAACTACTGCCAGTGAAAACAACTTTGGTGGAAACTTTTCCTGGAAAGAATTTTTCACCAGCTTAAGAGGATGAGTAGGAATCTGGCTTCTAAAAATAAACTAAGAAGTCACTTGCTTCAAGAACAAGCAGCTCTTTTAGAGTGTATTGTAGCAGTGGAGTGCTACAGATCTGTGAACTAAACTTTTCTATAGGATGAATGATTGAGAAAGATAATGAGTGTCAGCTCTTTTAAATAGAATTTCTGCTTTAAATAATTTATTAGAACACATTTTGGCTTCTAACAAGAAAAGTATCCTCCATCTCTTCCTCTTAATTATAAGTTCAAACAGCATATTTGCTACCCAGTCCAATGTAACATGTAATAATTTAAATTTAAATTAATTAAAATTAAAGCTTCAGTACATCACTTTTGTTAGCCACATTTCAAGTGTTCAATAGCCACATGTGATTAGTGGTTACTATATTGAGCAGCACAGATATAGGACATGTTCATCATTGAAGG